AGTCCTGGTGTGGCGCTGTGGGTTAATGCGCCAGACTGCAAAGCCGTTTGAACTACAAGGTCGGTGGTTCAAGCTTACCAGCTGCTCTTTGGAAACCCTATACAGAGTTGCTATGGGTCAGAATTGACTTGATGGCACTTAACAACAACAACTATTATATTAACAACAACAACAAAAGGAAGCCTAGGAAACTCTGTGGGGCAGCTCTCCCCCATTACACCAGGAGGCGCTGTGAGTGGATGAGATATAAGAGTATATATGAGTATACAGTGACACAATAGATGACAGCCTAGGAAACCCTGTGGGGCAGTTCTCCTCTATCACACCAGGGGGCGCTGTGAGTGGATGATATATGAGTATATACAAGTATATAGTGACAATAGATGACAGCCTAGGAAATCCTGTGGGGCGGTTCTACTCTTTTACACCAGGGGGCGCTGTGAGTGGATGATATATGAGTATATACAAGTATATAGTGACAAAATAGATGACAGCCTGGGAAACCCTCTGGGGCAGTTCTACGCCACCACATAGTGGTGTTATGAGCACATTGGATTCTCTGAGCCAGAATCACTTGATAGCACGCAGCCACACCTGCTTCCTTGTGGTTATGAATCTAGCAGGTCCTCAGTCCTGCTTCAGGATCTTTTGTCTTTGGCAGGATGCTCACCCCTCTGTATTGACACGGTGTCCTCACTGCATACAGACTTCCGCTCAAAACCACACCAAAGCTAACCCACTGCCGTGGAGGTGATTTGGACTCACCATGACGCTGTAGGACAGAACAGTCCCATAGGGTTCTCAAGCTGTCAGTCTTTCCAGGAGCAGACGCCTCATCTTTCTTCTATGAAGAGAAGCGGCTGTAGTATTGGAAGTGCTGACCCTGCTCAGTTAGCAACTGACCGCTTCATTAAAGATTCTCTTGGGCATCTTTCTACAATAACCTCAGATACCCTGTTACTGTCACTGTGTTGTTCCACACAGGGCAACAAATACATCGTTCTTCAAAAAGGCTCTGTATGTGTTGATGACCTCTCGTGGCACCCGTGTGTGTCAGAGTAGAACTGTGCCCACAGGGTTCTCAGTGGATGATTTTTCATACATGGATTCCACTCATGGTGCCCCGTGTGTGTCAGAGTAGAACTGTGCCCCACAGTGTTCTCAGTGGATGAGTTTTCATAAGTAGATCCCACTCATGGTACCCGTGTGTGTCAGAGTAGAACTGCGCTCCACAGGGTTCTCAGTGGATGAGTTTTCATAAGTAGATTCCACTCATGGTGCCCCGTGTGTGTTAGAGTAGAACTGTGCCCACAGGGTTCTCAGTGGATGATTTTTCATAAGTAGATCCCACTCATGGTGCCCCCGTGTGTCAGAGGAAACCCTGCTCCACAGGGTTTTCAGTGGCCTTGTTTCTGACACCTCTCAGTGGACTCGAACCTCCAACTTTTTACTTAGCAAGTTGAGGTATTAACCATTCGCAGTCCCCAGCTACTCCTTGATAAACTACCTTGTTGGGTACTGTTGAGTTGATTCCAGGTCATAGCCACCCCGGGACAGTAGAACTGCCCGAAATAAAATTTCTTAGGCTATAATCTTTATGGAAGCAGATCATCAAGACTTTCTCTCATGACGTCGCTGGGTAGGTTCAAAATCCCAGTTTTCAGGTTAGCAGCCAAGCGCTTAACTACTGCATCACCAGGACTCTTTAATAATGTGTTGGACTGCAAGGTAGGTTTGAATTGCACAGTTGGCAGTTTAAGCTCACCAGCTGCTCCTCAGAAACCCTATAGAGGGTCATTATGAGTCAGAACCCACTCAACAACCACCACCGCTGCTACCTCAGGTGCCGATCCAGACTCAGGTGATCCTCTAGGACACAGTAGAACTGCCCTGTAGGGTTTCTGAGGCTGCACCTGGTGGGTTTGAACCATGGACCCTGTGGTTAGCAGCGCAATGCTTAACCCACAGTACCTAATAGCTATGGTGGTGGTCGTAGTGGTGGTGTGCCGTGGATTCAGTTCTAACCCACAGCAACCCTGTCTAGGGTTTCCGAGGAGCAGCTGGTGAGCTTGAACCGCCGACTTTGCAGTTCAAACGGCTTTTCAGTCTGACGCATTAACCCACAGCACCACATCAGGACTCCCCTAATAGCTATAGTATCCTCTAAAATCATGCCAAGCCCAGAGTGGGTAAGTAAGCAAGAAATATTTGCAGAATGAAAGAGAAAACCTCTCAGTTCACGGTTGTCGTTAAGTGCTACAGAGTTGGTTTCAACTCACAGCAACCCTGTATGGGTTTTCTGAGGCTGTGAATCTTCATGGGAGCAGAAAGCCTCATCTTTCTCCCGCGGTGCAGCTGGTGGGCTCAAACTGCTGACCTTGAGTTGAGCAGCCCAATGTGTAACCCACTACCCCACCAGGAACCTATTCAGTTCATGGTAGGTATTGAAATGTGAACTGAGCTTAAATAAATGTATTTTTAATTAATCAAGAGTTTTATTGAGATATGATTAACACCATACAATTCACCCGTGGAAACTTTTATGTTGCTTTTCAAGGTTGTATTTGAGTGCAGGTACAAAGAAGGGATGGATGGAAACCTCCAGAAGGTACCCTGATTCTATTATTCACTGAAAAGATCAACACTTATTAGGAATCGTAACCAGAAGAACGTCAATACCTGGTCTGCGTGTGCACTTGAGTGATGCTAACAGTGTTCAAATGTCTTGATTTCATAGACACACACACACCTTTTCTTAGTGGGCTTCTGTGTTATGTGCTGTGGAGTCTGTGTGATTCTACATGGGAAAGCAGAACTGGCCTTAGGGCTTCCTGGGTTTTTCTCCTGTGGAGCCGTTGGATGAGTTCGAACCAACCACCTTTCCGTTTAGCAGCTTAACAGTTGTGGTGCTATGGTCCCTTCATGTTCCCACCCTGACGGCCATGTTAGTGGGAGAAGGACATCCACTTGCCGGGTAAACGTACAGTGGCTTTTCTAAAACACTATCATTTAATCACCTGAGTGACAATACATATGCCAGTGAACAAAAATGTGTCGTGTGTGGCTCTCAGTAGCATGCACACAGAGGAGACGCTCTGTTACTCTGGAAGTGTGCCTGGCTTTGAGATATTCATGGAAGGGGGGGATGAAGAAGTAATGGAACTTGTCCCGGTGCTTTGAGCCCCTTCATATCCGTTAGCATGTGGGCCTTAGGCACCCTCCCGCCTCTATCCCTGAGGGGCGTATGATGCCCAGGGTCGGCAGTTATTGTTCGACTCCGGTGGGGATATAGCCACCAAAGACCCTCCTTCTACACAGTGTCACCCACCCCCCACTTACGGGAGAGGAGGTGAACAGCTGAAGATAACCATCACATTAACAATTCTCTCTCTTTGTAATGAAATGCAGAAAAAAAGCCAAACACACACAAACACCCAGAACAATAAGCGTTCAGTTGTTAACTGAAAAGTTGGTAGTTTGGGCCCACCTAGTAGCTCTGCAGGACAAACATTTACACCCTGGGATCCCCTACGGGGAAGTTTGGGTCGCTATGAATCAGAATTGGCCCATGCGACTACCACCACCCACAGAATTCAAACGAAGGGGGGCTGTCACCAGAGCAGCTGAGAAGCCCATCTCTTGTGCGTGTCGAAGGCAAGAATCTTCACTCACCAAGAACTGAGATCCACAGTCAATATATATTAGGTCTTTTTTTTTTTTAAAGTCTCAAGGAAGTTGTGAAGAGAATTATCAACCAAGATGACATCACAAAAACATTCAATGTATTTACAGAGTGAATAAGTTACAGGGATGAATGTTGACGCTGCTGGGCCGTAATCTGTCTGCAATGCGTGTTTCAACACCTGACAGCATTCTGTTTTAGAAGAAGAGCCAAGAATGGCTTCTCACACATGTGTGTATATGTATATATATATATGCCTATGTGTACATATATATACATATATATATATTATAAATAAAATATGCCCATTCTGAAGAAACCAAGTGTCAGCTTGCATGTTTACCCTTATGACCACTTTCGATGACTTAAGTGGCTATTGAAAGACACATGCGTGGCTGGCCAGCAGACATGGAACTTGTTGTATGGGCACCTTGAACGTGCTACAAAATGGCAATGTTTGTTAAAATTCACACTCACCCTCCTCAAGTATAAATATGCTCATAAAAGCAACTTTCTAGTAAAAAGCAGCCAAGATCTTAAAAAAAAACAATAACAAAAAAAAGAAGAAACAAAGTCTATGTGGACCCTTTGGATCGACATGTGCGAGGGGTCCTAAGGACAGACTCCTTGCCAAGGGCTCCAGGGCCTTGGCACACAGTAGCCTAGCAACATCAGAAAGGTGCTTCCCTAGCGGCTGGCTTTGGATATGGAGCTGGTTCGAGGCCCGTGTGCGGTGCACCATCCTGCAAATCCAGCTCAGTTTTTTCACATTCACAGGCTGTCAGCTTTGGACCGGTCTTTCAGTCTTCCATAATCAGCTTCATCTTGCCTGTCCCTTTCTCTGAAAAGGAGGGGAACACAAAAGCAAAAGGAAGAAAAGAGAGAGAAAGAATGTACAAGTCTCAGAATAGAAAATATCATTTTTTTCTTCTGTGAAGAAGAAACCATTGCACTTTTGCCAGCGTAAGATTGCGTCTAGAAAGGAAGGGTTGGTTCAGTGCCGTCGGCTTTGGTACGCGATGGAGGTCTCTTCTTCAGCAGTGACGTGATCCACTCAGGATAAAGGAGCACATGGTGGTGCGGCGCAGAGTGGCGGGGGTGGAGACAGGTCCATTCTAGAATGTTCTATGCTACCGTGGTTCGTGTCAGTATTGCTACACGTTGGGAGTGGTCCCACCCTCTTTAGAAGAAGCCCCACAGGGAACGAGAGGGAGGACGGTCTGACCAAGCCTCCTGAAAGCTGTGAAGACGCTGAAGGATGTCACCCCGGCACTGCAGCACGCCCAGCTTGGAGCCCACGGGGGACGGGAGGCATCTGTCAGAGACTTGTGCCCGAGACGCTGGAGTCCGCGAGAAAAGCCGTCAGGACTCGGTAGCTCTGGGCCCGGCGGATCATGTCCCGGATCTCCATGTTCAGTTCCATCAGCTTGGTACACATTTCTGTCAGGCTCTGGTTGGACCCCACCAGCGCGTAAGTCCCCGTCTGCCCCAAAGTTTGATGGCGGAAATAGATATTCAGCAGGGTTTGAACCTCGTCGTCGGAATTGCTTCCAAAGATGTCGTTGGGCCACAGATTTCTGGAGATACAGAAGATGAGCAGCAGTTAGAGGACTGTGGGTCACAGTGGTGGGAGGCTATGATCTTTGCTGACAGGAGACAGAGTCTTTTGTTGCTAAAAGAGCTTATTGAGCTAAAATGCACAGAACAGACAATGCACTCATTTAAAGTGCTGCTGGTGGTGGTGAGGCATGCTACTGAGTTGGTTCCAATTCAGGGCAACCCTCTATAGGGTTTCTAAGGCTATCAATCTTTATGGGAGCAGACAGCTTCATCTTTCTCCTGGAGAGTGTCTGGTGGGTTTGAACTGTGGATCTTACGGTTAGAAATCTAGTGTTAACCCTGCAGTGCCACCTGGACTCCTAAAAACAGCTCTGTTGTTCTGTGCCGTGGTGTCGGCTCCGACTCATAGCAATCCTGCACAGGGTTTCTGAGGCTGTAAATCTTTATGGGAGCACAAAGCCTCAGCGGAACAGCTGGTAGGTTCAAACTGCTGACCATGAGATTAGCAGCCCGATTCGTAATGACTATGCTAACTAAGATATAATTCACAGGACATACAATCCATTCATTTAAAGTAGAGTTGGTACCAGGTTACAACCAACTCACAGTGACCCCATGCACAAGACACGGAAATGCTGCCCAGTCCTACACCTTCTCACCATCGCTGATGTGTTTCAGCCTACTGTTATAATGACTGCGTCAGTCCATCTCACTGAGAAAATCCAAACCAAAGCCGCTGCCATTGAATGAACCCACAGTGACCTTGTATGGCAGAGTGGAAGTGCCCCAGACATTTCCAAGACTGGAAGCTGTATAGACTCTTCTTCCTTCCATGCAGAGCGCTGGCAGATTTGAACCAAAGACCTTTCGGTAAGCAGCTAAGTACTTATGCACCATCAGGACTGTTGTTGTTGTTGTTGTTATGTGCCATGGAGTTGGTTCCGACTCATAGCGACCCTCTACAGGGTTTCTGAGGCTGTAAATCTTTATGGGAGCACAAAGCCTCAGCGGAACAGCTGGTAGTTTTGAACTGCTGACCATGAGATTAGCAGCCTAATTTGTAACCACTACACTACAGGAACCTTAAATAAGCCCTGGTGGCACAATGCTGAGGTGCTTGACGGCTAACTGAAAAATGAGAATTTCAGAATCAGCCAGGGATTCCTCAAGGAGAAAGATCTCAATCTGCTCCTGTCAAGATTCTAGTGTAGGAAACCCTGTGGGGCACTTCTACTCAGTTACACCAGGGGGCGCTGTGAGTGGATGATCTATAAGAGTATATACAAGTATATAGTGACACAATAGATGACAGCCTAGGAAACCCTGTGGGGCAGTTCTACTCTGTTACACCAGGGGGCGCTGTGAGTGGATGATCTATAAGAGTATATATGAGTATAT